ATTTGAAAACATCGCTGCTTGCTTTAAAAGTAGCACAATTCATTATGTCAAACCTTGGAAAGTATCTAGATATCCCTGCCCTAATGCCAAAGGAACTGCACACTGAATATGTGTGGCCGTTTGATGTCTATGTCTGGACCGCTGCGTACAAAGGAGGGTTTCTGCCCCGTTACTTCTCCGCTGTTTTCTTGGCCCAGTTCCAAACTGTATACAGTTCAATGGACCGGACTTCTTTCTGCAGATGTGAGCGTCCTTAACAACGGTCCATAAGTCCTTAACAACGGTCCATAAGTCCTTAACAACGGTCCATAAATCCTTGACAGCGGTCTGTCTGTTCTGGATTAACAACGTGTCACGTGTTCTGAATTGACCAATCAGAATCGAGTATTCAACTAAGCCATGTAATAACTGTGGCTACCATGTCTGTATTAACAGAACACAGAATAAAGCGTAGTCAACCTGCATTGCTAACAGTGGCTAACCCCAGGTGATGCTAAAGCTGTAAACGAGGTGAAGGTTTCATCTTGGAGGTGACGTCACTGCTCACCTGGCAGGTGTTGAAGTTGAAGAGCACGACGTCCCCCCCCGCTGTGGCTAAACAGGCTGACTCCAGTTCAGCCAGATCCTGCAGCCCGACCACCCCCCCACTGCCATCCTCTGGGAGGAAACCAGTCAGACCAGTGAGAGACGCCTCAGAGACCACCTGCAGAACAACAGGGGGAACAATATAATATTCCATTCCTCACATACTCATATCAAATATCCTGCTTTATATTTTGTCACCGTACATTTATTTCTAGTCTTTTAATTGTTATTGCACAGTGCCTTGTCTTTTCATGCTGCTGCAACACAAACATTTCTCCACTTGGGATCAATAAAGGACTTCTTATCGTATTATTTAAGACAGCTTAATGTTACCCAACCGCCCCCTCTCACCTGCCCGGTGCGCGGGTCGTACTCTGAGATGCAGAACTGAGACGCCACCAGCAGAGACCCGGTGTCAGAGCGAACAGATAAACACAGCGGGGAGCCGAGGATCTGCAGCTCTGAGCTCTGGAGACTCTTCAGAAGCTTCAGGTTCCTCATTTCACCTCAGGACTCTGGAACACACGGAGAAAACAACCAGAGAGAGAGAGGACATTAAAGAGGTTCTTCTTCTTGTTTCTGGGGGCCATTTGTTAAAACGTTGTTGTTGTTTCTTTTGATGTGAAATATTATTTATTTAAATTTATTTTGTTTAGTTAATTTACCTTTAATTTTTTTTTAAAAGAACCGATAAGAATACAGTTAAAGGACCGGATCGATAAGCGGTATCGATAAAAGTAGTAGTACCGTTAAAACCTTAACGATACCCATCCCTAGTTTGATGCCTTTAAAAACCTCCATTGGACTCCTTTGTTTACTTCTAGTGACATCACTACGCAACACTCCTATTGGCTCGCGCTCCAACACATTGTACATGATACGGCTAAGGGGCGGGACATCTCTAAGCTGTTGACCAATCACAACGGAGCCGGCCAGCAAACCAATCAGAGCAGACTGGGCTCTGGTTTCAGACAAAGGGTGAAAAGAGGCAGACTTATGATTTACATATGAAAGGTGTGTCTGCTTTACAAGGCCTCTAGTATCAGAAGATGCATGTTTTTTTTTAATTGTTGCCAACTGAGTCAAAACACTTTTCCTTTATCCATTGAATCAATGATTTACTAATTAGGCTGTTGCATGGCAGGCAGGATTAGCCACATCGATATTTAACCACCTTATATCAAACAGCTCTTACTGAATCAACCCAGCAAAAACTGTAAGGTTAACTCACCAAGAAAACACAGCTTGAAGTAAATAATTATTATTATTATTATAAAAGGTAGCATGTTTAACTGTGCTGGTTAGCAAGTCTCCTTAGCATTATATCTTTTTAAAGTCATCGATATGAAACCACCTTATATCAGACAGGTGACAATGAGAGTAGACATTCAAAGTACTTTGCTAGTTAAGCTAGTTAGCATTTTAGGGGGATACAAATTTCTCTAAACAGAAAAAATACAGTTTGTCTGACAATGGAACTGTAGCTATTTAGCTTTAATGCAAAAGGAGACACATGCTGTTTATCTGCAGTTATTTAATTAACCAAAGTGACGAATCATTGCTCTTTAAAAGCCATCAATATGAAACCACCTTATATAGGACAGGTGACAGTAATAGTGTTACATTAAATGTACTTTGATCGTAAAGTGAGTTAGCATTTCAGGGAAACAAACAGTGTGTCCGACAATGGAACTTTATGGGCTAGCCTTAGCTTTAAACCAAAAAGGAGCCACATGTTATTAAACGAACCAAAGCAACAAATAACACGTAAAGAAACCAGAATAAAAGGTGAAACTCACCAATAAAACAGCGGTAAAGAAGTGTTTAAATCTCCAGCATCAACAACATCATGCATGTGGATCTCAGCCTCTCTGACCCTTCAACTGCGACGTCACGCTGAGGGAGGGGCGGTGGCGCCCCCTGGTGGTGAGGAGGAGACATTGCATCACTCTCTGTTGAAGTCAATGGGGCAAATTATTTTGACATTTATATCCTCTAATAATCTGATTTACAACAACATTAAGGGTGAAACATAGGATAGGGCAGATATGAACTCACAAAAAGATAATAATAATGTTAAAAATAAATGTAACTGTTTATTTCAACGACAGTTATTNTAAAGAAGTGTTTAAATCTCCAGCATCAACAACATCATGCATGTGGATCTCAGCCTCTCTGACCCTTCAACTGCGACGTCACGCTGAGGGAGGGGCGGTGGCGCCCCCTGGTGGTGAGGAGGAGACATTAACATTTATATCCTCTAATCTGATTTACAACAGCATTAAGGGTGAAACACAGGATAGGGCAGATCTGAACTCACAAAAAGATAATAATAATGTTACAAATAAATGTAACTGTTTATTTCAACGACAGTTATTGTTAAATGATTACGACTTTTACTCTGAAAGAAAAAGCTTTTATTTTATAAAGCAGTGACCAGACGTTGTTTCCCTCATTATCGCGAGTTTGACAGGCTGCTGACATGACAACAGGTGAACGAGAGTTCAATGACAGAGACACGCTGAGAGCACAGCACGGGATTTCATCACAGGACGAGACTGAAAGGTAAACGCTTCATTATTTATTCAACATTTATCCTTTTCTCCTGTCTTTATCCCAACAAAAATACCTCGGTATTCCCCACATGAGCGGCTTTTTAAGACGTCTCGCGTTGCGGCAGTTCTCCAACGAGATTTGGTTTAAAGTCTTCACCTGACAACAGAGAGATGCGGATAAAAGCGACGAAAATGCTTTAATTATTCACAAAAAGACGAGTATTGTCTTGATTGGTTTCCGAAACAAATGCTGTTGTCATTACTCATTTATATTAAACCTTTACTGGCCTGACCATCATTTGTATTTTGTATTCAGCAGCATGTGGGTTCTTGGCTCAGAGTGCAGTGTGCAAACAAAACAAACCACAACATGTAGCCATCAGACTAACCACAGAAAGGTAGAGTTGTGATTGCACTTGAATATATTCCTCCAGGCTATCATCACACACCTACAATAAAGTAAATCCTCCTCAGCTGTTCGTCACTCAGCAGGAAGAGAGTAATAAACATTAATTTAAGGACGTTGAAATATTTCCAAGAAGAGCCGCAGTGATCAATGAGTCAATCTGTATCCGTCATATTGATATCAAACTTGTAAAGTAATTTGATTTAGAGCATTTTGCATCCCTGAATGTGGACTATTATTTCCCTCAGACAGCTGATAAGACATATACTACTACTACCATTACCACTACCACTACTACTACTACTACTACCAAATAATAACAAAACATGCTCAGCTAGGTGGAAGAGGAGTTGAAGGAAAGAGTGAAAAGGTGAGTTTTTTAGGGCTTTTTGAATGACATGTGAGTGTTGGCAGATTAGTTGAATACTCCGTTCTGATTGGTCGATTGGAAAATCCCACAGCTCTACTATTTTTGCCGAAGCAATGCGATCATTTTAAAATCAATAAAATGTGTTTTTATTGATATTCTAGAGTCACATCGTTGGTTTGTTTAGTATGTAGTCATTTAAAAAGCAGGATAATGACTGCGCATATCCCTGAATGTGGACTATTATTTCCCCAGACAGCTGAAAGACATGTTTTATAATGACTAATAATAATAATAATACATGTTGCTTATATAGCGCTTTTCCTGGTGCTCAAAGCGCTTTACAAGCAGGTAAAGAGAAATAAGAAAAACAGTAAAAAGTGCTAAGCTAGGTGGAATAAGGGCGAGGGGTAACATGTTCTTGTAAGTGTTGTGAGTAACGTTGTTGTTTTATTCTCTCTGTAGTCATGTATGTAAAAATCAGCATAATGACTGCATGGTCCCTTACTTAGTCTCCTTTTAGCACAAAGCCAAGCTGTGTGTTCATGTGAAGAAACACCCTGCAATCATGGTTCTGCATTTAGCTTTCACTGACTCATCTTTCCTTGCTTGAAGCACCTTCCCTTACAGCCATGGCTTCCTTCTCTAACACAAGAAACACCACAGGAAGACGTTTCCCTGCAAGTCACAGCAGAGAGGAGACACACGTGTCACTTTCTGCTTCAAGTGCTCGTGTTGCCGGGAAACCACACGTCATTCTTCTATAGCCATTACATTGTGCAATCTAGATTTACTTTGTGAGACTTAGAGAGGATTCTTTTGGTTTGCACCTTCAGTCAGCTGATAGCTGCATCCCGTCCTGCAGCATTCCTCTCACATACCGATGAGATGAAGATTATCCTCCCTCATGCCTCCCTCATTCCTCCCTCTCTCCGACCTCTCTCCTCTCTATGAATCCCGTCATTGTCTCTGAGCTGCTGCTAACGTCTAAATCTGATTAAACAGGCATTCACTGAGACGCCTACTGAGACGCCTACTGAGTCGAACATTGGAAAAGATTCAAGGCTTTTATTGTCATGCATAGCTACAGTGTAGATATGACAATGACAATCTGAGGTCAGGCTCCTCCAGCAGAGCAACCATAACACAGATTAAACGGTGAAAGTAAATAGAATATAATAGAAATAGTGCAGAATAGTCTATATACAAGTCATTTGAATATTGATATATATATGAGTTGTAAACAGATGAATGTTATGGATGTCCTTTCAAAGGTTCAGGTGTTCAACAGTCTGATGGCCTTTTCAATCAATGTGTTTGTTTTGTCTTTGAAACAATATTTATTCAATAGGTTTTCCACAGGAAGTCCATTCTGCTATCTGAATGTAGGAGACAGAGTTATTAAAGGAGTTATGAGGACTTCCTGTTTCTCTGTCAGTATTACATCTCCACCCTGTTCCTCTTGATGAACTAAACCACAGAAGCAGAGAGAGGTGGTCTGAGGGTTCGTCTGATATCCAGTCTGACGTCTCTCAACACTAGGATGTTTTCTATATTAACAGATGGACATGTTGACTCAATTTCAGCTTTAAAGGTTTTCCTGCTGATGATCAGGTGTGTAAGAGGATTTAGAGCCTTCACTGGGACTTCTTCAAATTATAAAAAGGAAATGAAATTCTGAAAAAAATACACATTTTGAAAAAATAGTCAAACTCTGAGAAAAAAGTCAAAATTATGACAGAATGTGAAATTCTGAGAAAAAAATCAAATAAAAAATCAAAAAATCAAAAAAAAAAGTAAAATTTTGAAAGGACAGTCAGAATTCTGAAATAAAATAAAAATCCAACAAAAAAGTCAAAATCCGAATAAAAGTCAAATTCTAAGAAAGATGTCAAATTATTAAAGAAAGTCAAAGTCTAAGAAAAAAAATCCAAATGTGAAAAAGGGAAATTTTGAAAAAAAAAGTCAAATTATGAAAAAGACACATTTTTGACAAAAGTCCAATTCTGAAAAAAACGTCAAATTCTAAGAAAAAAAAAAAATCAGAGAAAAAATTTAAATTGAGAGAATAAGTCACATTCTAAGAAAAAAGTGACATTTTGAAACAAAGTGAAAATCTAAGAAAAAAGTTAAATCCTATGCATGTATTGGTACTTTTTCTGAAGTGAAGCAATACCTCTTCCCCCTCTGACTCTCACACTTTAACACTGAATGATTAGGCTGCCTATTCTTCTCCCACTCTTTCACATCGTGTTAACTGGTAGCTGCAAATAAACAGCCGTAAATCTTTGTATTTCCGGCTGAATTGACCCCAAAGTAACGAGCTGTAAATCTCCCTTTTGTTTCCCCCCAGCAGAACATCCAGAGGAGGATGGGGCGTCCCGCGGAGCTTTTGTTTCCTGTGAGAGGAAAACTTCAATCACTCCAACGCTGCGTCCTGATTGGTCCACACAGCTTTTCATGAAAAACCCCTTCAGGTGTCGTCCCATTGGTCCTTCATTCCACTTGTGAAGAACTGTCGGCCAATCAGCTTCCGCCTGGGTGAGCGCCACTTCCTCTTCCCACCAGCTGCTGCAGTCAATCAGCTTATTCAGCACCAGGACTGTGTGTGTGTGTGTGTGTGTGTGTGTGTGTGTGTGTGTGTGTGTGTGTGTGTGTGTGTGTGTGTGTGTGTGTGTGTGTGTGTGTGTGTGTGTGTGTGTGTGTGTGTGATCTTGATATGTGGTGGATGGTACGAGTTCACTTCCCAGGGATGAACCTTTTCAATCAGGAATGTTATCAGACTGAATTCTGGGAATTGTTATGTCATCTCGTACATTTTCCTTTGCATCTAATCTTCACGGCCGACTGTAGCCTATGTTCTCCACTCTTTAATTCTACTTTGAGGTGTTGAAATTCTAGTATTGTTTACTTCTACTCTTTCATTTCTACCATCATGCATTGGGTTGTTTTGTTGTTTTTTATGCTGCAACGCAAACATGTCCCAAATTAGGATGAATAAAGTCCCTCTCATCCGGTTGAGTTTTCCATCTGGGTGTGTGTGTGTTTGTGTGTGTGTGTGTGTTGTGTGGTGGTGTGTTGTTGTGTTGGGATCCCAGCTCTGCTGCACGCTGTGTTTTTGGTCTAGAAGCTTTTTGGTTCGGATGTGCACTGTTGGGTATTTTGGCATAATTGCTGTGCTCTGGGTTTGGGCGTGACGGTAACGGGATATCAGGTGTTGTTTATTTCTGAGATCTTTCAAGGTTTGACTCGTCTGGTTGTCTATCACTTCGGCCCTCTGTTGCATCGAAGCGAAAACCCCTGTGTTAGGCGAGATGTCAAACTGGAGCAAGGTATTGCCCGTCTGACTGGCGGTGGGAGCAAGGCCGAAAGTTTAGTCAGGCTCGTTTGATGTCACCCGTTGGTACTCTCTCAAACTGACTGCTCTAAGCTTTGAGCATGTATGGAAAAGTGTGGCGTGCATGTGTGACTGGACTGTGTGTGTGTGTGCTTGTGTGGTGCTGTGTGTGCTTGTAGGTGTGACTGTGTGTGATGTGCTGTTGTGTTGACTGTCGGTTTGCGTGTAGAACGTTGATTGGATCATTGGT